AGCAGCAGACCCAGGTCTAGAGTGAGGAGCTTACTACGCCGTTCTCTCACCCGGGCTCCAACCAGGCTACTCCCGTGGTAGCGTTGGCACCAGGGCAGAGTACTGCTGGTCTCTGCCCACCCAGCAACCCATCGATCCAAAGGGGAGAAATGTGGTGAAAACGACCTCGCCACTGGGCATTGGAGAAGACTGATTGCCAGCCTCCTGCCATGTGGCTATGGCCCCTGGGATGTATTGCCCTTTAAAGACATGATTTGGGCATAATGGATTTGTGTTGTGCTGCTGCTGGCCCTTTAAGAACCATCTAAAGACATACTGTGGAGTTACTGGGTGGCCACCATTTCCTGTATCAGAGGCACATGGTGAGAACAATGGATGAAGCACATGGTGAGAACAATGGATGACGGCAATTTTAACTCACAGACACTGTTTGGACTTTTCAACACGGTGCCATCTCGCCAGTATTTGGTTCACAGAGGCATGCGCAAAGAAATTGAGGAAATGCTGCAGTTAGGGGTTATAGAACCTTCCGATAGCCCATGGGCCTCCCCAGTAGTTCTGGTGCCGAAGCGGGATGGGACTACCCGCTTCTGCGTAGACTACAGGAAGCTCAACGATAAAAACAGTCTCAGACGCTTACTCTATGCCTAGGATAGATGAGCTCCTAGATAAGATGGCCAGGGGCCAGTACCTCTCTACAATAGATCTTTGTAAGGGGTACTGGCAAATTCCCCTAGCCGAAGACGCCATCCCCAAGTCGGCGTTTGTAACCCCGTTTGCCCTGTACCAGTTTATCGTCATGCCATTCGGGATGAAAAACGCCCCGGCTACCTTTCAGAAAATAGTGGGCCAGCTATTGGATGGGTTCCAGGAGTACGCTTGCGCCTACCTAAACGATATAGCTTTTTTTTTAGCAACTCCTGGACCGAGCACTTAACCCACATAGGAGCCGTAGTAGAGCATATTAGGGAGGCAGCGTTAACTCTTAAACCCAGTAAGTGCCATATAGAGATGGTGGAGGTCCAATACCTGGGACACCGAGTAGGGAGCGTCCAACAGAAACCAGAGCCAGCTAAGATAGAGGCTGTAGCCAAATGGCCAACCCCTCGTACGAAGACCAAGTTCCTGGCCTTCCTAGGTACCGCAGGGTACTACCGCAAATTTGTACCCGACTACAGCACCCTAGCAGAGCCCCTCATCGACCTAACCCGCAAAAATTTCCCTAAAGTAGTAGTCTGGGCCCCAGGGTGTGAACAGGCATTCCAACAATTGAAAGCTGCTCTAGTGAATTCACCTGTACTTGTTGTTCCTGATCCAACTAAACGATTTCTTGTTCACACAGACTCTTCTATGTTTGGATTGGGAGCAATCCTGAGCCAAGTCTGAGCAGATGGCGGCGAACATCCAGTGGCTTACTTAAGCTGAAAACTCCTACCCAGAGAAGTAAGCTACGCCGCCATCGAAAAGGAATGCCTGGCCGTGGTGTAGGCCCTTAAAAACCTGCAGCCCTATTTGTATGGACAACCATTTTCCCTACTCACAGATCACAACCCGCTGGTGTGGCTAAACAGGGTGTCAGGAGACAATGCCAGGCTGCTGTACTGAAGTTTGGCGCTGCAGCCTTTTGACTTTACCATCCACTACCGCCCTGGGAAGCAAAACGGCAACGCTGACGGGTTATCCAGACAAACAGAACTTAAAAAAAAATTATCTGTGGGTGCTCCTCTTCGTAACATGCCAATTTTCTGTTTTCTATTTCTAATAGTTTTATGTATATATTTTTCTCATTTCACTTCATCAACTTAGACTTTTGTGTTCCGATCAATCACATAAAATTCAGATTAATAAAACATTGAATTTAAGGCTGTAATGTAACAAAATAGGTAAAAAGGGGTGATTACTTTTGCAAGGCACTGTATAAGAGGGATATTTTCTTTTTATCTAAGAAAAGCTGTGTATTTAGCAGGCTTTATATCCCCCAGTTTCTAATTTCAAGTCCCCTCACCATATTCACCATAAACCGTATTCCCCATAAATCCTTCTCATTCCACCAGTTGCATACCTCATATAACCTTCTCATTCTTCGTATCCTAATCCATCCATGTCAAACTATCTGCTACCAATGTTATGCCTCTGTTCCCAATTACACATTACATGCCACTACCCTCATCTCGGATCCATCTGCCATCAATGTTATTATCCCTCTGGTGACATCCATCAAGGATGGTATTACAGTTTTCATGACTCTAGGCAAACAAATTTAAGAAAAATAGCACTGTGTCAATATATTTGGCCAGAGGAGTAACAAGGTTATTTTATAAAAGTTCCAATTTCTATTGCAATTTTTGTAATTAAAAAAATGAACATACACCCTTCACACATAAAGAACTAAATCAAACTGAAATGCTTTAGTGGTCTGGAAGGTTCCTTTAAATAACTTTGTTTATGCAGCCCTAATTACACCTCCACTGCATTTGACCTACACAGTCCCTACACATTTCCTGGAAAGAGAGATCTCATGTTTAAACTTCCTTTATTGCACAGTCTGTTTAATTTAGAATGTCTTAACTCCTGCTCTGTTAATAGCCTGCTAGAGCCTACAGGAGCCTCCTGTATGTGATTAGAATCATAACAGAACAGGAGATAAAAACTTGTAAAGTTCTGTCACATCTGATTGAATATGAAGACAATTTTTTTTTCATGAGGCTGCATGTCACAGCCAGGGGAGATATAGTTAGGGCTACGTACACAGAAACAAAATTAATTTAAATCCTAAAAGGCACAGAATTGAGCAGTGGGACTGTAGGGGCATGATCTCCATTAAAACTGTTTCATTAAAGAGATAGGCATCCCTTCACATTTTTATACAGCAAGCAAACACTTTAAAACAAATATACAGAAGAAAGATTAACAGTTAAGTGGATTTATATGTGAGTGTTTGTTTTTTGTGTATATATATCCTATATTATATATAGAGATTCCTTTATCTCCTTGTAGAACAGAGGCACAATCCACAATTTAAGACCATTATTTATGATCTTAAACTTTATTAATTTATATGCAGTGTATCTACTAGACAGCCACTAGAAGGCACTTCTGGGATTATAGCACTCCCTATCCCCCACACAATGCTGCCCTAACCACCCACAATACTGCCCCTGCCCCACCAAAATTGTCCCTATCCCCCTCACAATGTTCCCCTAACCTACATCAATGCTGCACTAAACAACACACAATACTGTCACGGCCCCCAATATGTTCCTATTCCCCCACCATAGCCCCAGTCCCCCACAATACTGTTCCTATTCACCCCCACCACAGCACCAGTCTCCCACAATGCTGCCTCCACCCCCCCCACTAAGCCCATCTCCCCACAATACTGTTTCCATCTCCTTACTAATGCCCCAATACCCTGAAATACTGCCCCTATCCGACCACACTAAATAATTAATTTGACACAATACAGCCTCTGTGCCCATCAGAATAAAGCCCCAATCTCCCCCTGGCTAAGCCCCCTATCCCACACAATACTGCCCCTATCCCCCCCACTAAAGCCCTATTGTACAGTGTCACAGAATTTGTTGCCGCTATATAAATAATAATAATAAAGTACATATTCCACACAATTCTGCTCTATCCCCCACAGGAAAGTAGAAGTGACACTGAAAGGGGCTTGTGGGGAAGTAAGAGACAACGGCATGTAAGACACAACAAAGAGACATTGAAGAGGGAATATGAAACACTAAAGGGGTTAAGGAATTCACGAGGCACACAGATGAAGATACTTTTTTTTTTCTGGGTGGGAGTGGGGCGGCAAAATGCATCTTTGTCAGACCGCTCGGCCATGCTACACACAGTCAGGAGGGGAGCAGCACAGCTCTCCCCTCCTGCAAGGGAACCGCAGGTCCAGGGCCGGTGCAGATGTGCACCAGCCCAGAAGGTATGCTGGCAGGTCATGGTGTGCATGATATGTACGCCACTGTATAGAAAGATTTATTGTGCAGAGCGGTGTGTGTCAGTATAGAGAGGGATTCACTAAGCAGAGCATTCTGTTAGTGTGACTGAATATATACCAGCAGAGCTCCATAGCAATAAAAACTCCCAGTAATGTGTCTTTAAACTACAATCAGTCTTTTTAAATAAAATACATTGTTCTTGTTCTAAATAACATTTTAGTTCCATGAATTGGTTTTAGAAAGCTACCTACATTTTTTCAGAACATACCCACCCATGACCACAACACCCCTCAAACCACAAAAATTAGTCTTCAGACAAGAGTTCGATAGGTTTCACAAGCAGTTTTTAGATGTACCCCAAATAAAAATGTTTACAATTCAATGCATGCAATTTTTCTTATGGTGTATATCTAGTATACAATGATTTTTATTTGTTTTGTATTAGGGCAATTGAGTGTCTCTTTAATCTAATGGGAATGCAGAAAACTCTAACATAAATAAATATAACATTAAGTCTGCAAAGTCTATAAGCAGAGGGAGACACTAGAATGGCACATTCTAATTTGCAATGTGGTCCGTGATAATTTTCACTTCATGGGACCCCTAATCCAGTACTAATTATGATCCAACCAAGCCCAGATTTCAGTTATGCACACAAACCCAATACTAATAGTAACAGGGCAAAGCTGTAGCAGCCATCTTTATAATGGGCAACAGGCCAGACAGCTAGCTCTCCCAGTAACTACAGGTTTCACTTTAAATCAGCTTTCATCAAACTATAACTACGGCAAGTTTTCTGTTTTTTCTTTAGTAAAAAAAACTATTAATTCTCAACTGATTTGTTATGGATTGAATACGTCCTATGACGTTACACGTGTACTATTCCAGTAATACGTGTGGCCCACGCTCTGCGCACATGGAATACTAGAGTTATAACGTTGCATGCTTTCCACCGACTTCCTGTCCAGCTTGTCATCGCCGACGCGGAAGCTGTCATCTCTGAGTTCGTTTCAGGGGAATTCTGGGAGATGTAGTCTTAGAGCGGCTGGTTGCTGGTATTCATCGCAGAGATGTGGCAGCCCGCCAACTACAACTCCCGTGAGCCTCTAGGTTCTTCGGCTTGCACTCTGTAAGGTGTGCTGCTAATATAGGGTAACCCCGAGCTCTGGCACCCTGGTTCTTCCGGACCGAGGTGAGTCACTACAGATAGGATCTGCCCGTTAACAAAGGGCCTGTCTGAAAACTGCTGCCATAGTATGTACATGGCTCTGGTGCGGTGGCTAGAATGTTCTGAATGCGGCCAGGCCAATGGCTAGTGCTGGGTCTGGTATAGTATAACCGGTAACTCTCCCTATGGCTAGTGCTGGGTCTGGTATAGTATAACTGGTAACTCTCCCTATGGCTAGTGCTGGGTCTGGTATAGTATAACGGTAACTCTCCCAATGGCTAGTGCTGGGTCTGGTATAGTATAACTGGTAACTCTCCCAATGGCTAGTGCTGGGTCTGGTATAGTATAACCGGTAACTCTCCCTATGGCTAGTGCTGGGTCCTGGTAACTCTCCCAATGGCTAGTGCTGGGTCTGGTATAGTATAACCGGTAACTCTCCCAATGGCTAGTGCTGGGTCTGGTATAGTATAACTGGTAACTCTCCCAATGGCTAGTGCTGGGTCTGGTATAGTATAACCGGTAACTCTCCCTATGGCTAGTGCTGGGTCTGGTATAGTATAACCGGTAACTCTCCCAATGGCTAGTGCTGGGTCTGGTATAGTATAACCGGTAACTCTCCCAATGGCTAGTGCTGGGTCTGGTATAGTATAACCGGTAACTCTCCCTATGGCTTGTGCTGGGTCTGGTATAGTATAACTGGTAACTCTCCCAATGGCTAGTGCTTGGTCTGGTATAGTATAACCGGTAACTCTCCCAATGGCTAGTGCTGGGTCTGGTATAGTATAACTGGTAACTCTCCCAATGGCTAGTGCTAGGGAATATGAAACACTAAAGGGGTTAAGGAATTCACGAGGCACACAGATGAAGATACTTTTTTTTTCTGGGTGGGAGGGGGGCGGCAAAATGCATCTTTGTCAGACCGCTCAACCATGCTACACACAGTCAGGAGGAGAGCAGCACAGCTCTCCCCTCCTGCAAGGGAACCGCAGGCCCAGGGCCGGTGCAGATGTGCACCAGCCCAGAAGGTATGCTGGCAGGTCATGGTGTGCATGATATGTACGCCACTGTATAGAAAGATTTATTGTGCAGAGCAGTGTGTGTCAGTGTAGCAGTGTAAGCATGCAGAATCCAAACACAGAGATATTGACACAAATCTTCAGGAAGTAAGAGGCCTTTATTCACATTACCGATAAGGTCTCAGATGAATTCCTGTTCCAACATTCTGAGAGACCAACACATAGTGTACATTCCTTATTTAGCACTATAACTCCTCCCATTAATAGCTACACCCACATATACCTTTAACCAATCAATGAGCAGAATATAGACTTGTACATCTAGTCAAACCACATGGCTCATCCAAGACAAAGGAAATAAGTGCAATTTCAGTTCCTGCATTCCTGCACATGCTCAGTACATTGATGACAGTATCCTAGCTACGTGTAGCTAACTAACTGACACAACATACACATATGCCACATGGAGATTTTGGCCTACTAAATTTTGACCATGCTGGAATCCCATCACATCAGTATAGAGAGGGATTCACTAAGTAGAGCATTCTGTTAGTGTGATTGATTGTATACCAGAGCTCCATAGCAATAAAAACTCCCAGTAATGTGTCTTTAAACTACAATCAGTCTTTTTAAATAAAATACATTGTTCTTGTTCTAATTAACATTTTTAGTTCCATGAATTGGTTTTAGAAAGCTACCTACATTTTTTCAGAACATACCCACCCATGACCACAACACCCCTCAAACCACAAAAATTAGTCTTCAGACAAGAGAGCGATAGGTTTCACAAGCAGTTTTTAGATGTACCCCAAATAAAAATGTTTACAATTAAATGCATGCAATTTTTCTTATGGTGTATATCTAGTATACAATGATTTGTATTTGTTTTGTATTAGGGCAATTGAGTGTCTCTTTAATCTAATGGGGAGAAGAAAACTATAACATAAATAAATATAACATTAAGTCTGCAAAGTCTATAAGCAGAGGGAGACACTAGAAAGGCACATTCTAATTTGCAATGTGGTCCGTGATAATTTTCAATTCATGGGACCCCTAATCCAGTACTAATTATGATCCAACCAAGCCCAGATTTCAGTTATGCACACAAACCCAATACAAATAGTAACAGGGCAAAGCTGTAGCAGCCATCTTTATAATGGGCAACAGGCCAGACAGCTAGCTCTCCCAGTAACTACAGGTTTCACTTTAAATCAGCTTTCATCAAACTATAACTACGGCAAGTTTTCTGTTTTTTCTTTAGTAAAAAAAACTATTAATTCTCAACTGATTTTTTTATGGATTGAATACGTCCTATGACGTTTCACGTGTACTATTCCAGTAATACGTGTGGCCCACGCTCTGCGCACATGGAATACTAGAGTTATAACGTTGCATGCTTTCCACCGACTTCCTGTCCAGCTTGTCATCGCCGAGGCGGAAGCTGTCATCTCTGAGTTCGTTTGAGGGGAATTCTAGGAGATGTAGTCTTAGAGCGGCTGGTTGCTGATATTCATCGCAGAGATGTGGCAGCCCGCCAACTACAACTCCCGTCAGCCTCTAGGTCTATGCTTCGGCTTGCACTCTGTAAGGTGTGCTGCTAATATAGAGTAACCCCGAGCTCTGGCACCCTGGTTCTTCCGGACCGAGGTGAGTCACTACAGATAGGATCTGCCTGTTAACAAAGGGCCTGGCTGAAAACTGCTGCGGTGGCTAGAATGTTCTGAATGCGGCCAGGCCAATGGCTAGTGCTGGGTCTGTTATAGAATAACTGGTAACTCTCCCAATGGCTAGTGCTGGGTCTGGTATAGTATAACTGGTAACTCTCCCTATGGCTAGTGCTGGGTCTGGTATAGTATAACTGGTAACTCTCCCTATGGCTAGTGCTGGGTCTGGTATAGTATAACCGGTAACTCTCCCAATGGCTAGTGCTGGGTCTGGTATAGTATAACTGGTAACTCTCCCTATGGCTAGTGCTGGGTCTGGTATAGTATAACCGGTAACTCTCCCAATGGCTAGTGCTGGGTCTGGTATAGTATAACTGGTAACTCTCCCAATGGCTAGTGCTGGGTCTGGTATAGTATAACCGGTAACTCTCCCTATGGCTAGTGCTGGGTCTGGTATAGTATAACTGGTAACTCTCCCAATGGCTAGTGCTGGGTCTGGTATAGTATAACCGGTAACTCTCCCAATGGCTAGTGCTGGGTCTGGTATAGTATAACTGGTAACTCTCCCTATGGCTAGTGCTGGGTCTGGTATAGTATAACCGGTAACTCTCCCTATGGCTAGTGCTGGGTCTGGTATAGTATAACCGGTAACTCTCCCTATGGCTAGTGCTGGGTCTGGTATAGTATAACTGGTAACTCTCCCAATGGCTAGTGCTGGGTCTGGTATAGTATAACCGGTAACTCTCCCTATGGCTAGTGCTGGGTCTGGTATAGTATAACCGGTAACTCTCCCAATGGCTAGTGCTGGGTCTGGTATAGTATAACCGGTAACTCTCCCTATGGCTAGTGCTGGGTCTGGTATAGTATAACCGGTAACTCTCCCAATGGCTAGTGCTGGGTCTGGTATAGTATAACCGGTAACTCTCCCAATGGCTAGTGCTGGGTCTGGTATAGTATAACCGGTAACTCTCCCTATGGCTAGTGCTGGGTCTGGTATAGTATAACCGGTAACTCTCCCTATGGCTAGTGCTGGGTCTGGTATAGTATAACTGGTAACTCTCCCAATGGCTAGTGCTGGGTCTGGTATAGTATAACCGGTAACTCTCCCAATGGCTAGTGCTGGGTCTGGTATAGTATAACTGGTAACTCTCCCTATGGCTAGTGCTGGGTCTGGTATAGTATAACTGGTAACTCTCCCAATGGCTAGTGCTGGGTCTGGTATAGTATAACCGGTAACTCTCCCTATGGCTAGTGCTGGGTCTGGTATAGTATAACTGGTAACTCTCCCTATGGCTAGTGCTGGGTCTGGTATAGTATAACCGGTAACTCTCCCAATGGCTAGTGCTGGGTCTGGTATAGTATAACCGGTAACTCTCCCTATGGCTAGTGCTGGGTTTGGTATAGTATAACCGGTAACTCTCCCAATGGCTAGTGCTTGGTCTGATATAGTATAACCGGTAACTCTCCCAATAGCTAGTGCTGGGTCTGGTATAGTATAACCGGTTACTCTCCCTATGGCTAGTGCTGGGTCTGGTATAGTATAACCGGTACCTCTCCCAATGGCTAGTGCTGGGTCTGATTATAGTATAACTAGTAACTCTCCTTATGGTTAGTGCTGGGTCTGGTATAGTAGAACCAGTAACTCTCCCAATAGCTAGTGCTGGGTCTGTTACAGTATAACCGGTAACTCTCCCTATGGCTGGTGCTGGGTCTGGTTTAGAATAACTGGTAACTCTCCCTATGGCTAGTGCTGGGTCTGGTATAGTAGAACCGGTAACTCTCCCATATGCAGTACTTAAAGTAAGGCAGCAGAAATTCCCATTTTGTTTTACCAATATCAATTTTCTCTATGTTTGGACATTGTTGACTGAGGGCATTATCTGAAGTATTTAAGGTTTGAAGTGAGATTGGTGTTTGGAGTCTGTATGTACAAACAGATACTGAACTTTGCTGCTGGAGGTGTAACTCCACCTCTAACCATGTCATTAACCAGCCTGGAATGAGCATTTCACACTGCCAAAGTTTAATCCGGTGCATATTGGGCATCACACATGCATCGCAATGCCAACAAGCTCTGTTCAGTCTGTGCTCCAGTGAAGGAGATTGACGTCTCTCGAGGACAGTCAGGCTCCATTGAGAACTTGAGGCTTTTTGCTGAAAATTTACAAAAACAGTCTGCTGTGAAACTCACTCCATAGTTTTTGTTCACCATTTTACTTATCCAGATAATGCAGTGATAATACAGTATACTACAGTCTCAATACATACTTTTCCAACATTTAGATGTAAGAACTCAGGAGGTCTAAGATTGAGCAGTCCATGACATAATAGAAGTTGACCAACCCAGGTAATGGACATTTGAGCATGCCTACTCATATGAGGGTGAATGCACACCTTGCTGGCTGGCAGCCTCTATGTCTAGCCCCACTCAGAGTAGACTATGAGCAGCGTGCAAATGAAGTACTCTTCCTATAAGCCTATGTTTGTCCTATATGTAGTTTATACATTGCAAGCACGTCTAATTGTGTGCTTGGTGAGGATATCAACTGAGGTCACCTGGGAGAGATGGACAGACCACAAGTTCGGTACTATTTCCTCTGATTGGAGACTGTGACTGTTGGGAGGCATGTCAATAATAAACATCTTCATTTTGGTTTAATATGTCTCCAGAACACCTCATATTTAGGGTTCACATTTATATTACGCTCTCTCTATGCAACTGTACTATCTCATTGATTTAATGGTTGAAAGGACAAACATATGTTTAAATCTGCATGTATGATTCACAGTACATTCATGTTTAAGTAGAGTTTTAAAAAAAATTTAAAATTTTATTTATAACCTTTTAGGTACTAGAGGAGTTCTACACCATTTACTTGGTGATTGTATCTTGAGTTAATAGTGTGTTACAGTTATCACAGCTGATAGACTATATATCTTGTGACATTACTTTTAAAGTCATGATACACCCTGATTAGCAAACAACCTCTGCAGTCTGCAATGTGTGTGTCACTAAGTGCTCTGTAGGTTGTGAGATCATTGTGTCTAGGTAGAAAACCCAATTTCTGCCTTCTGCACTTCGAAAATAGAAATGTAGCGCTTCATCAAGAATTTTTTTATTTTTATTTTTTTTTTTTACCTACCAATGTGACCTCAAGTTTCAAAAGTACTAGTGCAAAAAATTACTCTTATTATCAAAAGGTGCTAATTTATAAGTGCTTATAGTGTTACACACTGAATAAAGATACATTAATCAAAATAAAGTGACAATGTTTAATTCCACACACTGTAAAATAATTCAGTGCAAGTTCCACCATTAAAAGTACTTGGAATTTCCACGGGAGTTATAGAATCTCAAAAATAAAAGTAAATCGCATACAATAGTGCAATATGTATAAAACAGTGTATTACACCCAAATAATTTTATTAATGCCCATTTACATAGACTAGAGCCTCGGGATTGGCTCTATTCAAATGCCTTGGAGTCTTAGGGAGACTCCTCTCCTCTTGGATAGTTATCTGGACCTCAGAGATAAAAAGTGGTTAGAAATGTAGTGTAGTACATTCAGGATCAATATACTTAAGAACAAATGAAAATCCACGCACCTATTATAGAGCCACAATGCATGCTCTTTAAGGTCACAGTGCATCTGCTTAGGGTGACACTGCCCCTTCAGATGAGAGAGAGACTCCAGTAGTAGTTAAATCAATGTATTGCCAAAAATAGAAACAAACAAAATAATGAAATAACAAAACACACATTAAATGCAATAAAATCCACAGCATTTGTCAATTTAAATGTCCCAGTAATAAAGTGCCTTTATATAGACAGCTATTGGCGTGCGTTTCACACCTCTCTGTCTGATGTAGAATAAGTAGAGGCTTTCTTCCAAGACTCAGTAATAAGGTATGAGTGGTCATGCTAGGCTTTTAAACCCCTTGGCTCCAGCTATGATATTCTGCAAGTGTGTGGCCAAACACTAAAATTCTGTGACATTGTTTTCACTTGGCCTGCATGGGACCAAGAAATGTGTTCTTAGTTGACAAAGATACATGCTAGGTATCCACTGATACCTGGCTCCTACCAGAAGGGGTTGGAATGTGTACACGTTTTTTTTCATTACAAGTTTCAAGATCAGATTAAAGGGAAACTATCATGGCAAACATAACTTGGAGTCACCTTACACAAAACACAGTTTCGTGGTTAGAATTAGCTTGCTTTGTACAAATGCATATTATCAAGCCCTAAATAGTAACACTTTTTTTTTTTACTCTTCTTTTCAGATATAATGCTGGCAACATGTCAATCCAATCTATGCTTTGTGAACGCATAGCTATTGCCAAAGAATTGATCAAGCGAGCAGAAGATCTCTCTAGATCTCGAGCTGGAGGTGTGGAAGGTGGAGCAAAGTTATGCAGCAAACTAAATGCTGAGTTGAAATTCTTACAAAAGGTAGAAGCTGGGAAAGTAATCATTAAAGAGTCTCACCTTCGTAGTACCAATCTTACTCACTTACAAGCCATCATTGAATCGGCAGAGAGCCTGGAAGAGGTGGTCAGTGTTCTTCATGTCTTTAGTTATAATGACGGGTATGGTGAAAAACAAACACTTGTTGTGGATGTTGTAGCCAATGGTGGCCACACCTGGGTGAAAGCCATTGGACGGAAGGCCGAAGCTCTGCACAACATATGGCTAGGGCGTGGGCAATATGGAGACAAAAGTATTATTAAGCAAGCTGAGGATTATTTACAAGCAAGCCGTCAGCAGCCAGTGCAGTACAGCAGTCCTCATATTATATTTGCTTTTTACAATAGCGTTTCCAGTCCAATGGCTGAAAAGCTGAAAGAGATGGGCATCTCTGTACGTGGAGATATTGTTGCTGTCAACTCTTTAGAAGAGGATCCATTAGCAGATAACTTTTCAAGCGGCAGTGAATCTGATGATGAGAGCTCTGAGTTTCTTCATGTTGGAAAGGTAGATAGGGAAAATGTAGTAGCCAGTGTTGCTTTCCCAACAGAGTTCAAGGTAGAAGTCTGCAACCGGGTCAACTTGGACATCACCACACTAATTACCTATGTGTCTGCTCTCAGTCATGGAGGTTGCCACCTAGTCTTTAAGCAGCAGGTGTTAACAGAGCAGGCTGCACAGGAACGGCAAGAGAAAGTACTGCCTTTGTTGGATTCATTCATGAAGGGAAAGGAGCTGTTTGCCTGTGAATGTGCTGTGAAGGATTTTCAGTCCATATTGAAAACCTTGGGTGGACAAGGAGAAAAGGAGAGAGCAGCAGCTCTTCTGGAAAGAGTTACCGTTGTGCCAGATCAGCCATCAGAACGTGCCTTAAAACTTGCCATCAGTTCTAAAATAAATAGTCGTTCAATCACAATCTTTGGGACTGGTGACACTTTGAAAGCCATCACAATGACTGCTAACAGTGGTTTTGTAAGAGCAGCGGGTAATCAGGGTGTTAAGTTTAGTGTTTTCATTCATCAACCACGGGCACTAACTGAGAGTAAAGAGCCAACTGCTACTGTTTTACCAATGAAATATGCATCTTCTGATCTACTTTAACTTTATATTTATTTATAGACCCGGTTATTCATCAATGTGAAAATGCAAAGTGAATTTCAAACTTGAGGCTAAATCCGTTTCCAGGTCGATTTTGACCATAAATGTAAAATTCACTTTGAATTCTCACTTCAGTGAATAACCATGTAGTTGCTGCTGGGCCATGTCCCTTTGCGTTTATTTTGCTGATCTATAATGGTAAAAAATGTATCAGAGTTATTAAACTGTAACTATTACGTTACTTATTTTTCCTTGGTTAAAAAATGTGCAGCAGCAAATTGTCATGATAAATTGCCGAAGGGATGCAACTTAAAACATTAACTGTACTCTGCACTTTTCTCCAGCACTAAATATAAAGCCATTGTCATTTGTTCTCTACACTTTTTCTCCAGCATTAAATATAAAGCAATTGTTAATCACTTGAACTGTGATAACTTTAAAATACGTTTAAAGTGGAACTGGTACTTTCCAAGAAGTGATTGTTTGTCGACCCCAGTTAACACTATCACAGTGTTTACTTTGGGCTGATAATGCAGTAGAGGTAAGTAAGAACAATATTATAAAGGGGTAAATTTAACAATAAATTAGACATTTTCAAAATGTTACAGGAACAATTGGTTGATGAGGACTATGCCCAAACTAGTTGACAATCTTTCAATTTTACTAATCTGTTTGCATTTTTTCTTTTATCATGCATTTAAATGCCATGTTGGGCATGTTATCAAAATTGTATGAAAGGAACACTAAAGCTATAGGAATGCAGGTTTGTATTGTTTTAATTTTACTGTCCCCATTTCTAGTTAGAGGTCTCCACCCCTTTTAATATATATAAATATTTTAATACTTTAATAGCGTTACATTTTTTTTTAACATCATGTAGTACATACAATATATAATAGTTGTTGTTGTAGTAATAATAATAATTATAACAACAACAACAACAACAACAACAAAGTATTTAACCAGGAAAGGTACATTCAGATTACTCTGGTTTTCAAGTACGTCCTGGGGATGTTACCTTAGCCCAACATCCAGGGGTTGTTACTGTTACGCAATTTTATGGTAAAATAAGATAAAATGAGTACCATTAAATTGGGTTATAGTAACAACCCCTGGATGTTGGGCTAAGGTTACATTCCCAGGACGTACTTAAAAACCAGAGTAATCTGAATGTAACTTTCCTGTTTAAATACTTTATTATCATGCAATGGTAGGACGAGGGCATAGTTTAATAAAAAGAAAAAAAAAATATCAAATCACATGAAATACAGTCCAAAGCAATTTCAAGGTAACCCCTGGTCGTGATCAGAGAGATTTTACTCTACCAATACAACAAACAACATGGCCTTGAGGATGTTGAGAGAGAGAGAGAGAGAGACTCTCTTTCCCTCTCTCCCTCAAGTTGTGTCGGGATGATCCCAATGAGTTTAAATGATCATGAGTCGTGGCTATCCGTAGGACCTCCAAATTTGGCCATGTAATTACATTGTTCTTTTCCCTCACTTTTGCTCTTATTACTTTCAAGGCCCAAGTAATAAACGTTTAACTCGCAAGTTGGAGTAAACTTGGAATTAATAATAACATTAATAATTAAAAATAACTTAAAAACAGAGTGTAACGTCAGAGTCCACACTCCTTGCTTTCGGTAATTCAATAAGATTTATTAGTAGAGGCTAATCAAACAAATAAACAATGCATACACATTTGAAATAGGCTAGTATATGTTGCTACTAAAACTAGTCATTGACTGAATGGAAAGTAGGCTAAATTAACATAGTAAAACAGTCATAGACAGTGATACAGTTACCACTCCATTGATTGTCAGCTGAGAGTAAGAGAGTGAGTGAGCTATTCAAAGGGCTTTAAGCAGGTTAGCCCCTCCTTCTGCTGGACACTCGTCCCTTAGGATGTAACACAACCAGAGTGCCTCCTGGGGGAAGGGGTATTGCATTGGAAGGGAATGGAGGGGGAGTTTATCAACAGCCCAACTGATTTTGCCCGGTGAAAGGCCATGTGCTTCACAGAGGACTCCATTATTGCCTAAGGGTAGAATGGGGGCGTGAATCCTTGTATTAGAACACAATAACACTTCATTGGCATAATACTTGGCTGTTAATATGTCCCCCCCACTTATTACAGACATAAAATTCTACATATTTAGCTGCCTATGGTTCTCTTTTACATTTTCAAAGATGTAAGTGAAGTTTGGACCTTTTTTTTTCTTTTTCTTTTCTTCTTCATTGCAAGTTTAAAACATTAATACAGACTTATAAGCGAGGTACCATTACATATTGGATATACAATTAATATTATATTCTAAATTCAGACTGTACCAAGCAGACGTTAAGACAAATTACATAAAACCATTATTAGACAAATTAACAAAACAGAATGGAGTGCTGGTCGGCAAATTGGAGACTCATTTGTTGGTTTCAAGGAGTATCATCAGTGGGTAAACAGGTTGTTTACTTATTTGGGGCCTCTGTTGATTCAAAGCTTATGGAGGATCTATTTAAAAATAGAAATGTGGGAGGGATAATCACCCAGGGGTCCGGATTTAACCCCTTAAGGACACATGATGGAAATATTCCGTCATGATTCCCTTTTATTCCAGAAGTTGTGTCCTTAAGGGGTTAAGGACCAAACTTCTGGAATAAAAGGGAATCATGACATGTCACACATGTCATGTGTCCTTAAGAGGTTAAAGGAGATACATCTTTCCATATTGTATTGATATTTAAGCTGGCTTAGAACATGGGCCCAGGTGGGGACTTGTTTTAACCAGTGTCTTGATAGTACCATCTTTGTAACCGTTGTCAGATGCATTATTAAAAAATCTTTTCTGCTTTGGAAAAATGTATATCTTAAAGTAAAAGATGAGTGCTTGACAATTATGTACAAAATCTTTGCCTACCAGTTTGGTTAATTCTATTATAACTTTATTCCATATCGGTCTTATACTGTCACATTCCCACCAGATGTGTTTAGAAGTTCCTACTCCCTAATTACACCTCCAGCACACATTTCAATTGGTAAGGATTAATTTTTATGATTTATGGGACCATATGCCACTGATGTAATATTTTATAGTGTAATTCAATAAGATTCAAACAGTGCAGTGATTAACGTCTTGGATGGTTTTATATCAATAGGATAACAGGGAGGGGATCTCAAAGTCTTTGTCCCAATTTCTCCAAGCTTTAGGTTTGCATCAAGTTGTAAGATGTAACAACGAGAGTTAGGGCCTTTCCAATACATTTTAGTAAAATAAAGATTGCAAGAAGTGTGCAGCCTCAAAGAGACGCACATATAATGAAATCTATTTCCTATTGCTAGTATAATTCTATTTCACCACAAGAGGGCATCTAAAGCAAAACGATATATAGAAAGTTATAGAAAATAGGGCTTAGCTGTTACCTAGTTTGCTCTTGCTGTCTATTAATGGTACCAAATGTACTGACACCCATTTATTTACAAACTAGTCCACACCATAAGAGAAGAGCAAAATAAAGAGGAACATAGACACACTTGACGCGCGTTTCATTTGTGTATGTACACCAGGCCCATCACAGGTGCTATTTTCTCAGGAAAATCTGCAAATTCTGATGATAAACCCGATTTTCTATGGGGTTGAATAATTTTAATTACAACTGTATGTAAAAAATATATATATATATATATATATGTGTGTATATATATATATATATATATATATATATATAATGATCCTGATGAAAGTCCTTGGAGAGGACTGAAACATTGATCCTGAAGAAATTGCAATAAACAAATCAAACAAAAGCGATTGAAATAGCTCAACACACCTCAACTGAAAATGCAACTTATAGTGACTTCTCCAGTCTCAAAAATATTCAACTCCCTGAAAAGAATCCCTTGCAACATTACAAATATGCAAAACCGATCAAGGGCTTCATTAGTTGTCCCAGGTGTACTTGAGCTGGATTACTTGAAATACCTGAATTGGCTAGGGGATTGTTGTGTTGCGTTTTACTGCAGGTTAGAAATATGGCTAAGTCAAAAGAATAGTCCACAACGTTAAGAGAAGAGATTACTGCCATTCATAGCTACCAATGGCTGCAATCAGATTTATGAGAAGGCAGGCTGTTAAAAACCCTTGAGTGACTGCAAAAGAGCTGCAGCAAGACTTGATAGCAACAGGCACTGATGTTTCAGTGAGCACAGTACTAAATGCAGAAGGTTTCTAAGACGTACACCACTGCTTAACCACAAGGACAAGGAAAGTCGGCTCCTATGCTCAAAATTATATAAATAAGCCACAGAAGGGTTGGTATTCTGTTCTGCAGAGTGATGAAACAAAACTAACATTTTGGCCCAGTGGATCAGCAGTATGTCTGGAGGAAGAAGAATGAAGCATATGCTGAAAAGAACACTCTGCCTACAGTTAAGCATGGTGGTGGCTCGCTGACGTTGTGGGGCTGCTTTGCTTACTCTGGAATTGGAAACCTCATCTAGAGTGCTATTTTCTCTTTGGGACTGCACACCATACAGTAAGAAATGGATTGATTGGATTATATGTGTTTCTTTTTGAGGTTGCACATTGTTTTCTGTCCTTTTTTTTTTATTTTGCCTGAGGTAGCCTGACTGCCATTAGGTACCGAGATGAGATCCTCAGACCCCTTGTGAGACCATATGCTGGTGCGGTTGGTGCTGAGTTCCTCCTAATCCAAGACCTCATGTGGCTGGAGTGTGTCAGCAGTTCCTGTGAGATGAAGGCCTTGATGCTATGGACTGGCCCGCCCGTTCCCCAAACCTGAATCCAATTGAGCACATCTGGGACATCTTGTCTTGCTCCATCCACCAACGTCACGTTGCACCACAGACTGTCCAGGAGTTGGCAGATGCTTTAGTCCAGGTCTGGGAGGAGATCCCTCAGGAGACCATCCGCTACTTCATCAGGAGCATGCACAGGTGTTGTAGGGAGGTCATACAGGCACGTGGAGGCCACACACACCACTGAGCCTCATTTTGACTTGTTTTAAGGACATTACAGCAAAGTTGGATCAGCCTGTAGTGTGTTTTTTCACTTTAATTTTGAGTGTGACTCCAAATCCAGACCTCCATGGGTTGAAAAATTTGATTTCCATTTTTTTATTTTTGTGTGATTTTGTTGTCAGCACATTCAACTATGTACAGAACAAAGTATTTCAGAAGAAGATTTAATTCATTCAGATCTAGGATGTGTTATTTTTGTGTTCCCTTTATATATATATTTATATCAAAATACAGTGAGAATAAAATTACATTTATATACATAATTTAAAAAAATATATTTTTACAGTTTATTTTTTATTATTATTTATTTGTCATAATATATATATATACATAATATATTATATTATATATATATATATATACACACGTGTGTAATTTTACTGTGTGGTTTTTATATTAATATAACATTATATATGTGTGTGTATATATGTATATATATATATATATATATATATATACACATATCTATCTTATATATAACGTTATGATGTTATATATAAGATATATATTGTGACGAGACCAATCTCGCCACATTGCATTGGAGAAGCCTGGTTGCTCGCCTGCTGCCTTTGGACTATGGCCCCCTTTTAAAAGACTTTATTTTTCCATGCAGAAAAGCTGTATTCGTGCTTTTCTGCCGGTTGTTCGGTAGTTTCAATCTACCGAACAACCGTACGAATGACTGGACCACCTGGGAGCTGGAGTGTGCCGGCAATTAACCTCCCTGAAGCTGCGGTTAACCGCAGCTTAATTGATGAACGCTGGGTGGCCGCCGTTCGTATCCCGAACACGAGGTCGCGGCCATTTTAAACCATACGAATGAACAGCGGTGTTCGCCTCTATTTTCATGGAACTAAAATCGGACACAGTTTTGCGCGAACACCGCTGAAGCCGCCGACCTCCCTTCTTGTTCGGTGAAAGCACACGAATGACCCGGTGTTCGGTATTTTTGTGTGAATGTCTTATACCCCAGATAGGAATCCCATGGAGCCCATTCGTATGACTGACTGTAAAGACTTTGGCTCCATGGCGATTAAACTGTATTCGTGTGGTCTGAGTGCCATTCACCTAATAATGTGCACTCAGACCTGAGCTATCTGGGGATAGGTTACATGTCTGTGTTTTATGTAGTAAATGTTACTTTGTGCATTTTAAAGTATTATGCTGGTTTTGTGTTCCCACGTGTGTAATGGAGTTTTGCCTTTGTCTTGGGAGATAATTGAGTTACTTCCCAATTATCTCCCAGGGCAGAGGGGAGGAAGCCAGGATGCATTGTGGGAATATACTGTGACTGTGTGTCCTATTTGTATACTTGTCTGTCCCTTGTCACAGTCTCCCATTTGGTCCCCTAGGGGAGTGTCCACCAGGTGGGAGACCTGCATAAAAGCTGGGCAGGTAGCCCTCATTAAACAGACCACTGCTTGACCCTCAACACAGAGCCTTGTCTCGTTCTTGGGGGGATTCACTGTATGCTGTTAGAGACTGATTGCCAGGAGTGTAAGCTGATTGTCTGCTTTTCCTGTTCGTCTGCTAGCAGCTATTTGGGAGGTTCCAGTTCGGGAGTTGGAGTGCTATTTTGTATCCAGTTCGTGAGTTTTGGTGTTCTGCAGTAGCTGTGCCTGGATCTCTGGAAAGGGGGCCGATCGCCTAAACGGTTTTTACCCCTTGTGTGCAAAACGGTCCGTTACAATTGGTGGCAAGCGGCGGGATCGTTCCTACAGACAGAAGGACAGCTACAGGAGACACCATTCCGTGGATTTTACAATTTGAGGGCAACGCATGTCTCAGTACAGCGACCCTGACAGCAACAGAATGGAACCAGCAGTGGAGTACAGATACTCTGTACAGGAATTTGACCGTATGATGTGGTTGCGGCTGAACTTCTTCGGACCTAATCCAGCTGAGAAATCCGTGAAGTTCGTGAGGAGTCTAGTATTCAAGACTCTGCTGTACCGGGCAGAGGGTGACGGTCAGCTGCCACGGTGGGTGGACCTCCACCGGCAGCTACAGTTGCGGGACAGAGAGAGCTCAGTCTCCTCTCCCCAGCGGCAGTGTGATATACAGGGAATTGGGAGCCCAGTCTCCATTCCCCAGCGGCAGTGTGATATGCAGGGAATTGGGAGCCCAGTCTCCATTCCTCAGCGGCAGTGTGATATGCAGGGAATTGGGAGCCCAGTCTCCATTCCCCAGCGGCAGTGTGATATGCCGGGAATTGGGAGCCCAGTCTCCATTCCCCAGCGGCAGTGTAAAGTGCAGGGAGAGGAGAGCAGCGTCCTCCCTCCCCAGCGGCAGGCTGAGTTACAGGGGGCAGAGGTAGTTGTTCCTGCCCCCAGCAGCAGAGTGATATGCCGGGAAGGCAGTGTAAAGTGCAGGGAGAGGAGAGCAGCGTCCTCCCTCCCCAGCGGCAGGCTGAGTTACAGGGGGCAGAGGTAGTTGTTCCTGCCCCCCAGCAGCAGAGTGATATGCCGGGAAGGCAGTGTAAAGTGCAGGGAGAGGAGAGCAGCGTCCTCCCTCCACAGCGGCAGGCTGAGCTACAGGGGGCAGAGGTAGTTGTTCCTGCCCCCCAGCAGCAGCGTGATTTTTGGGGAATTGGGAGCCCAGTCTCCATTCCCCAGCGGCTGAGTGATGTGCCGGGAATTGGGAGCCCAGTCTCTATTCCCCAGCGGGAGATACAGCAGGGAATTGGGAGCCCAGTCTCCATTCCCCAGCGGCAGAGTGTCCTACCGGGAATAGAGAGCCCAGTCTCCTTTCCCCAGCAGCAGGACACTGTATTGGGAGCGGAGACAGTCGGCCTCCCTCCACAGAGGATGAAAGTATGTATGGGAGAGGAACTTGCTACCACCTCTCCCCAGCGGCGGATCATTAATGGGCAGGGAATAGAGAGCTCAGTCTCCTTTCCCCAGCGGCAGAGTGTTCTATCGGGAGAGGAGCATGTTACCCCCTCTCCCCAGCGACAGCTTAGAGTATCCAAAGGGGAGACAGTCGGTCTCCCCCTCCGGCAGCAGAGCTGTGCAACAAAAGGGGAGACAGTCAGTCTCCAGCAGCAGAGCGGTGTATCTAAAGGGGAGACAGTCGGTCTCCAGCAGCAGAGCGGTGTAGTTAAAGGGGAGACAGTCGGTCTCCCCCTCCAACAACCAGGCTTCAACCAGGCTACCCTTCCAGTAGCGCTGGCAACAGGGCAGAGTGCCGCTGGTCTCTGCCCACGCAGCAACCCACCCAGTCAGCGTACCCGTACCCAGCACAGCCGTGGTGAGGCACCTGGACATGGACAAGCTTCTCCCTTACCCAGGTGTAGTAACCATTTATTGTGGGTGGGCTGTGCTGTTGATTATGTTTTGTGGGTGGGCTGCTGGACTAACAAGGGCACTGACCGGCAGGAGGTCAGATACCCTGCTAGTCTGTTTGGAAAAGGGGAGAGATGTGACGAGACCAATCTCGCCACATTGCATTGGAGAAGCCTGGTTGCTCGCCTGCTGCCTTTGGACTATGGCCCCCTTTTAAAAGACTTTATTTTTCCATGCAGAAAAGCTGTATTCGTGCTTTTCTGCCGGTTGTTCGGTAGTTTCAAACTACCGAACAACCATACGAATGACTGGACCACCTGGGAGCTGGAGTGTGCCGGCAATTAACCTCCCTGAAGCTGCGGTTAACCGCAGCTTAATTGATGAACGCTGGGTGGCCGCCGTTCGTATCCCGAACACGAGGTCGCGGCCATTTTAAACCATACGAATGAACAGCGGTGTTCGCCTCTATTTTCATGGAACTAAAATCGGACACAGTTTTGCGCGAACACCGCTGAAGCCGCCGACCTCCCTTCTTGTTCGGTGAAAGCGCACGAATGACCCGGTGTTCGGTATTTTTGTGTGAATGTCTTATACCCAGATAGGAATCCCATGGAGCCCATTCGTATGAAACTGACTGTGTAAAGACTTTGGCTCCATGGCGATTAAACTGTATTCGTGTGGTCTGAGTGCCATTCACCTAATAATGTGCACTCAGACCTGAGCTATCTGGGGATAGGTTACATGTCTGTGTTTTATGTAGTAAATGTTACTTTGTGCATTTTAAAGTATTATGCTGGTTTTGTGTTCCCACGTGTGTAATGGAGTTTTGCCTTTGTCTTGGGAGATAATTGAGTTACTTCCCAATTATCTCCCAGGGCAGAGGGGAGGAAGCCAGGATGCATTGTGGGAATATACCGTGACTGTGTGTCCTATTTGTATACTTGTCTGTCCCTTGTCACAGTCTCCCATTTGGTCCCCTAGGGGAGTGTCCACCAGGTGGGAGACCTGCATAAAAGCCGGACAGGTAGCCCTCATTAAACAGACCACTGCTTGACCCTCAACACGGAGCCTTGTCTCGTTCTTGGGGGGATTCACTGTATGCTGTTAGAGACTGATTGCCAGGAGTGTAAGCTGTTCGCCTGCTTTTCCTGTTCGTCTGCTAGCAGCTATTTGGGAGGTTCCAGTTCGGGAGTTGGAGTGCTATTTTGTATCCAGTTCGTGAGTTTTGGTGTTCTGCAGTAGCTGTGCCTGGATCTCTGGAAAGGGGGCCGATCGCCTAAACAGTTTTTACCCCTTGTGTGCAAAACGGTCCGTTACATATATATACACACGTATTATATATAAATATAATACATATATATACAAATATGTTACGATTGCCCCCGGTCTAGCAGGGGGGTTGATCGCTTGGATGTCCTGGTTCCTGAAGTCGAACGTGGTTCCATTCGGTAGAATCTGCAAGTGTAGAATATCCCACTAGCTGTAAGAGCGCTAATATTCCCGGATCCCTACAACACGAGTCGAGGCTGCGAGTTGAGGGTCAAAACGAACTGGCTTTACTGGCATACAAGCATGGCAATTTATGCAAGTCCCCAGGTCCAGGGACAGCCCCCCCATGGACCTCATGGGATACAGGTACAGTACAAGTACATAACCAATAATAACACAGTGTATCATTCAAACTTGTACCCGCCCAGCTTGGAGATAATGAGTCCAACGGTTATACAATCTAATTATCTCCAAGCGTCCAAAATGACCATGCTTTATTACGAACAAGAAAACAACATAAAAATACATAACTCAGGTATTATATAGTACATATAGTTCCTTCTACATATCATTCGGTAGCTCTCCGTTAGTTATATTGGGTGTGCAAATAGCGCTCTGTTCCCACAAACAG